TAATTGAATTTTTAAGATAAACGCTTTCCGAGAGTAACAAAATTTGAACATATTCTTTTAAAGATTGATTAAAATAGAATTGATGAAGGAATTCTCTTACACACTTTACAAAGACGACGTAATACTCAACGGGAGCATAAAAATCGCTCTGGATCTGAGTCCACGACAGATTTACCGATCTGGAGGAGAACGTGGTGGCTACGGGAGTACTCGGAGGATCGGGCACACCTGTAAAATAAAGACACGTAATACGTTTAACGGTTTCAAGTTATGATTATATAATAGAGTTCTGCTCACAATTAATAAACAAATAACACTAGAATGTATTTACTAATCATAAAAATACCTGGAAAAATCAAGCGAACTCTTTGTTGGAAATGAACACTTTTCATGATTATGAAATGTCTACCAATGGGAATGGGAAACCCGCAGACTTCTGTGGCTTCTTGTGCGGTACCATTGCGGGTTGTGTAATTTTATACTAAATTTATATAGTCGGAGTTTTTACACATTCAAAATTCTAATTGATACAGATATATCTTTTATATGATAGGAGAGAAATTTTTACTTTACCGACTGTTATATATAACAGAGGGAAAGTATAGCGATCGGTCAAAAAATGATCCCCCAGATATTTTTACATTTTTGCACTCAGGGGACCTTGAAACGTCGAAAAATGCAAAAAAGATTTTGGGTAATTTCTGTATGTATGGATGTGTATGGGGGGCACTGATTTTGTTCGCCCCGTTTGAAGCTTAATAACTCCCAATAAATGGAGACTTCCTGCAGAAATTAAGGACAAAATTAAAATTATACCACTTCATTGAATTTTATATCGCAGATAACGATGTTTCATCCACTACTCGAAAGAGTAAAAACTTAAAATTTACTCATTAAACTTTAATTACTAACACTAGATCTAACACCAAAGCGTTGATAGTTGCACGTTGTTCCTCTACGAGAACAATGACCTATTCATCTTTAATCGAATTTCCCGCTAGTGACCTTACAATTTCGATTGTTTTAACTTACAAAACAAATAAAACAAGAAACAAAAGTGTCGCTGGCAAACAGATTAGATCCGAGAATAAACGTGTTTTCCATTTTTAAAACGATTAAAACATCGTTTAAAGATAAACACGTGCTAGTCACAGTTCTAGCATAGCCTCTATCGAACTATAAATAGGCGGATGGCCAGCTGACACTGCCATTTAGAAAAACGGGTGCAGGAAGTCTGCCATTTCGTAAATGTGACTTTAAATAATGACACGTTACCTTTTTGATTCGAAAATGAGTAACTTACCCGCGTAATCTAATCCGTGAACCGTTCCCATTAAGAAAAGTAATGCGTGAAACGATCTCCGCATCACTGTCCAAATCATCTTTTTAATCCCTTCCTCCTCTTTAATCCCTCGAATCTTACTCCTTACTTCGACCGCGTGTCTGAAGATTACGTAAATTACCGTCTCCAACACCCGCTCGGTTGGAGCCGGTCCACCGAATTAATTTAAAAAGTGTACTTTTTTCGGCTCCCGTCTCCGTTTGGCGACGCTCTGGTCCTATCTTTGGCGCTTTTCGTGAGGGTATTTCTTGTCGGGCGGCGCAATTTTCAAATCCCTGACTTCTTACCAGTAGATCGCGAGCGCTTTCTTGGGAAAATCGCACTTTATGTTGCACGCTTGCTAGACCTTTGACCTAAAAACGAAAGAGTCGATTCGATAGTAAACGAGGTTTTCAATATTTATTTAAATTAATAAAATAATCGACAGATGGTGCCACCGTCAAAATCTTGACTCGAATTTCCGCCATTAAAAAGTTTAAAATTCAACCCTTTACAAAATGTATTAAATTAGATAATAATAATTTTATGCGTAAATTTGTTTTTTAAATTAATTAATTTATTTAAATTTGTGGAGTAAAATAAAACGAAATTATCGATATAAAAATCAATTTTTATATTAAATTGATCTAAGAATTAAAGCATATTTATATTAACAGTATTCTGAAATCTGAAAGTGTGGTGATGATGATGTAGTGGATCAACATCATCCATTATAAACGCTTAGGACATCAAGTGACCACCTCCATATCTCCCCACCCGCTCGAGCTTCGTACTCCAAAATTTAATAGTATCGATGCCCCTTGTATAAGGAGTAACCGTACAAAATTTCATTTCTTAATCTTTACCCCTCCTCAGATAATAAACGAAATAGATGCCAACATATATACACAGGGATTTTCCGTGTTTTTGACTTTTTGGTGTTCAGGGAACACCCGAAAACTATGTATCCGTAGTGATCTCGAGATATAGGTAACTATTTCCTTAAAAGTAGTGTCCGCAGATTGAATACAAGCGCATTCTGATCGTCAATCCGCCATATTTGGACCGATTGTTACAGCAATACTAGCCGTGCTCAGCACGTTTAAAATAATTCAACTTTATGTTTATGAAATACACCGTTTACATGAAAATGAATACACACTAAAACAGTAACTGTAAATGACATACAGTAAAATGTACTAAATATGTCGGCACCCATTTAAATGCATTGTTTTCCGATCTAGATACTCTATCTAAAACATGATTTAACACCTTTTAGGTGACTCTGCGTATCCACTGCAAGAACAATTAATAACGCCATTCCGAGATAATGGATATTTAAATCAACGGCTTAGTAAAATACGCAACATAGTAGAATGTGCCTTTGGCTTATTAAAAGGACGTTTCAGACGTTAGAGATATGTGGATATGGGCAACCCTTATCTCATTCTAATATTTATTATGACCTGCTGTGTATTGAATAATATTTGTCAAATGCATGATGGCGATTTAGAGGATGAAACTGTAATTGTAAATAATGACAACTCTAGTGAATCCATACAAGATTCAACTAGTACAGTACATGTTCTCGAACACAGGATAAAAGAAACTTTTTAATGCAAATGTTGTGAAAATCAGTTTACAACATACAGTATTGGTGTTTATTGTTATTTTGGTATCTATTTAGAAAACATCGTGGTTAGTTACATGATGTTTTTTTAAATAGATAACAATAAACTTCAATGCTAAATATTGCAAAGTGATTTGTTACTGTTAATTATTTTTTAATAATCTGAAATAAAAAATTATTCTCATGCTGTTTCCTCCCGAATTCTAATAGTTCAGTCATGTTGCTGTCAAGGAAAAATCCAGAGAAGAAAGACTTCTCTAGATTTTTCCTTCAGTTCTTTGTATTCCTCAAACCATTCTGACTTCCGCTTATTCTTTTGTGGGAGTTTGGAAAGAGAAGAGAGAGTTGATGTTGAAGGCTCAAATCTTCTGAATTGCTTTTTTACCATGCCTACATAAAGATAATTATATATTGTAATATGACATTCAGGTAAATCACCTGTATAATGCAAACAAAAATCACTTACTCAAAACCTGTAAAGTTGAAGAGAAACTCTCAAATGTAGCAGGTGGTTCAATATTTGGCCGCTGTCCGAGAATCTCATCCATCATGGGAAAAAAAATTCCCACTGGCTTCTTCCTCGGGCAGTTTGCTTGTTTCCATTTTTAATTTTCCTATAACTTTTCTTTAAGTTTCTTCATTTTTCATCACATTGATTACCCGTGACAAGGAAATCATTTTCTTGCAATGTTTGGGCAATTAAACTCCACACCTGCAAGATATAAATTTTGGATCAGTGTGTTACAATTTTTTCATTTTGGTTTCTGTGTTAAATTTTGACTTTTAATATTAATACAGAATTTAATAATTAAAATATATATAAATGGTTTGCTGTATAATAGTTAATATGACGATTTTAGTCTCTGTAATCCAAAAATATTCTTGGTAGACAAATCTCACAGCAATCTTATATATCAGCAATAAATTTAATAAAAATAAATTTAATTTGCCAATAAGATTGCTGTGAGATTTGTCTACCAAGAATATTTTTGGATTACAGAGACTAAAATCGTCATATTAACTATTATACAGCAAACCATTTATATATATTTTAATTATTAAATTCTGTATTAATATTAAAAGTCAAAATTTAACACAGAAACCAAAATGAAAAAATTGTAACACACTGATCCAAAATTTATATCTTGCAGGTGTGGAGTTTAATTGCCCAAACATTGCAAGAAAATGATTTCCTTGTCACGGGTAATCAATGTGATGAAAAATGAAGAAACTTAAAGAAAAGTTATAGGAAAATTAAAAATGGAAACAAGCAAACTGCCCGAGGAAGAAGCCAGTGGGAATTTTTTTTCCCATGATGGATGAGATTCTCGGACAGCGGCCAAATATTGAACCACCTGCTACATTTGAGAGTTTCTCTTCAACTTTACAGGTTTTGAGTAAGTGATTTTTGTTTGCATTATACAGGTGATTTACCTGAATGTCATATTACAATATATAATTATCTTTATGTAGGCATGGTAAAAAAGCAATTCAGAAGATTTGAGCCTTCAACATCAACTCTCTCTTCTCTTTCCAAACTCCCACAAAAGAATAAGCGGAAGTCAGAATGGTTTGAGGAATACAAAGAACTGAAGGAAAAATCTAGAGAAGTCTTTCTTCTCTGGATTTTTCCTTGACAGCAACATGACTGAACTATTAGAATTCGGGAGGAAACAGCATGAGAATAATTTTTTATTTCAGATTATTAAAAAATAATTAACAGTAACAAATCACTTTGCAATATTTAGCATTGAAGTTTATTGTTATCTATTTAAAAAAACATCATGTAACTAACCACGATGTTTTCTAAATAGATACCAAAATAACAATAAACACCAATACTGTATGTTGTAAACTGATTTTCACAACATTTGCATTAAAAAGNTCCCTGTGCCGAATGTTATAATTAAAGGAAGTTTCATACTTTATGTGGGTTAAGTTATTGTCGATTCTTCTGAAATTTTCATTTTAATCAACAATAATTTGTCTCAACAGAAAGAAAATTAAATACATAGTTTTTAAAATCACTGTTATAGTTTTAATATGGCCCTAGGGGGTCGCCAGAATTTTTTAACTTGTAAAGGGGTCGCGTATTCAAGAAGGTTGAAAAACACTGCTCTAGTATACTTGATACAGCCAGCAGTATTGTAGTACTGGTCATAACAAATCGATATTTTTCTCTCTGCTCTATACTGTTTTGATAGAATTTTATTTTTTAATAACCGAGGTGGTTTTTAATCAGCATCTCATATGAAAAACCATATAGATTAATTGTTAAACAATTAAAAAAGGACTTCAAATGAATAAGTAATTTCTTTTAACTACTCGAAAAAAAAAAGAATAAATACAGTATTTACATACCTTCTTGCTTGGCCAACAAATTGCTGTTTTATCTCATCCAAAGTTTTAAAATCTCGGCCACATTCTCCACAACGATACAGTGTGTCCGCCATTTTGTAATTTAACAGAACAGCTATAACCGCCACCGTGGTTATTTCGATAACTACCGCAGGGCAACCGGTGACGACATAACAGTGATTTTTAAACGTGGTTTGTTATTTTGATCACATTTTCTAAACACGCCTTGGTAACAACCGGCAGTTACCGGTAACTGCCGGTTTTAATGATATTTTATTATAGAAATCTTCATGAAAAAGGATATTTTTCTCCATTGCAGGCCCACCAGTGGCTGAACACTGAAGTTGATTGGCGCCTAACCGATGGGCTAGTCACGTGAGTTTTCCGCTTTATCTTCTTGTGTTTAAGGCCAGGAACACACATGCGTAAAATTGTGTGGCAGAAAACTGAATCAGAAATCAGTTTTCGGTTCAGTTTCTGTTTTACGCTTTTATGCCAGAACACACATACGTAAAAATTCTGGCCAAATAGAAAACACCACTGCCACCAACAATACTAATTTTATTAATTTTTTCCTCTCATATAGGCTATCCCTTTGTACATTCCATTTTTTCTCCACTTCCTCTGCTATAATATAGAAAATTTAAATTAATAGACTTGTACTCCAAATTCAAATAAAGAACATGTGATCTAAATACTAGGCCTATATATCGATTCTACTAGACTTACCTGTTATTTGAAATTTAACACCTGTAGCCATCCATAAACGTTGTTTAAATACAGTGTCTTTATACATGACACTGATTTGGTCGAACGGATTCAATAAACTCAATAAACTCCTCTATTTCATTTATTTTTAGTTTTTTCGAGACCGTCACAATTGTAGGGTTAACCCTCATTGCCGCCATTGTTAAAATAAAAACCACGTGTCTACTTCGACGTCATAGGAAAGACCTCTTTATTGGAGGAATTTTGGCGTAAAAATTTTTCAGCATAAAAAGTAGAGACACGTTCTACTCTATTTTCAGTTCTGTTTCAGCCAAAATTTCAGAAAAATTTTTACGTTTTCTGTTTTATGCTAGATTTTACGCCGAATTTTACGCATGTGTGTTCCTGGCCTAACGTGTAAATAGGGCTCACCTGCCATAGAAAGACTTAGCGGGAGGCACTCTCCCTTAACTTGCGTTGCCTTATTATATCAATTCAATCCTATTGGAAAAAATGGCAAGTTTCTACACAAACTCGTATCCGGTCATTTTTTAATCAACAACCTGCTTTTTATTTGATAGGTTTTGGCACCACCACAGTATCCTTGACTAAAATTTCCGTTTCCGAACTTTTAGACCAGTATTCGAACTATTTTTAACAAAATACAAACATTTTTATAGAGCCGAAACAAATATATACATCTGTCTATTCAGTCTTACTAAAGCCGGTTGTCTTTCAGGGTTGAATAATAAACAAACATGATGATTAAACGAGTTTTTAATGCACAGAAGCTCTGTTTCAAAACCTTTTGAAAGAATAATTTATGTGTTTACTTTATATCGAATAAATCTTAGTTTTTACGCATTGAATTTCCATAATTCGGCAGTTCGCACGTAACTATAAAATAAACCTATTCACGCCAACCTTACGTATATACATGACTTTAAGCTATTAAAATGTCGAACCCCGTCTAATGCGTAACACTAAAATTATATATAAGCATTTCTCCTCTGTTTATATAATTCATATATTCAGAGTCACAACCTTAAGAACCTATAGCTAAAGTAATTTGGGGCCCTCATTCAGTTCTGTTATCCCTCCTAAAAGCTGCGGGAAACAGGATTCCAGCCCTAATTGTTCCCATTAAAGTCATATATTGCATTCAGTTAATAGAACGCCCTATAAATTACGCATTATAAGATTACAAATAAGCTAGAAAACCCAATGTAGGAGTATTTTTGGAGAGTGAAGTGGGTGTAACGCTTTAAAATACTATCAGATTCCTGTTTTAGAAGATAACTTCTATAAAACAGGCTTCTTTGATAACTGGTTTTCGTTAATTTATACTGTATAATTTTTCTTTCCGCTACACAGATAATCTTTCAATATAGTGTACTGTACTTCAATTAATTCTTCATAATTCTTTTCTATACGATTTATTAACTTATACTACACGGGACGAAATTCTCATTTATCGGTAGGTTAATAACTCCTGTGCTTTTTGTGGAAGATTTCTGAAATTTTGCAGAGCGGTTTGTATATTAGGGGGATTGATGCTATTAAATTTTGATGGTTGAAGGTCGAGAGGATGGGAAGATAAAGGGGGTCGTGTCATATCTCGAATTGGGTCTGACTTAATGACGATTTTACTGGTTATTAGAATTTACAATTTTTTATAAAAACCTATCCCTAAAAATTAAGTCTTTTTCCCAATATATAAAAAGCTATTTTTAATAAAATATCTTAACGGATGGCGCCACCAAATGTTGCCGGGAAAGTTAAGCAACTGGTTGCTGGATTTCTTTTTTTTTTCTTGTAATGAATATAAAATGGTGTTTGGGCTTTTAGATTTAGATAATTATTAGTCTTACAATTGATAATGGCGGATAGAGGTGTTATTTAATAAGAGTATTGTAAAGCAACTACAGATTATTACAATAAAAAGATTTAAAAAGGTAACG